CTTGTTTACTCACCCTAGTTGATATTTGTTTTTCAGGCAAGGAGACTCTCTTTTTGGATGCACAACATCCCTAGCTTGGCTTGAGTTTCATTTGGATACCTTTTGTATATTTTTGACATGCAAGTGTTGGCATGATTTTGCTCTTTTGAAGTTCTTAATGTATAACTTGTTTAGAAGCATTCCTTGCTTCCTTTTGGATATGTAATATGAACTTAAGTACTCTATTTTGATGCTACTTTAATTTGTATATAATGAGGCCAAGGGCCAAGAACTTTCTATGTATGTAAAGGATGTCATTTTTCAGCATGTTTTTATCTTCTTGACATACCTTGCACTCGGGGGCATTTAGGTCATTTTATATTGCTTTTCATTCTTGGTTTGGACCTTGGTTGATCAGAGGACTCATTTTTAGGGGGGGTTTCTTCACAAACTTTTTCCAAAAAGTCCCATTTTAGCCTTGAAAATCACGTGTTTTCGAAAAAATGACTGCTCGTAGCCAAATCGATTGTACCGGGCACATTTTGGCAACGTTTTTGTAAAACTTCATAAATTCATATCTTCTTCGTTCTAACTCCAAATCAAGTGATTTTTGAGTCAAAGTTTATTAATTTTTCGTTCTCTATCCAATGGTATGCACGGTAGCATCCATTTCTGTTTGAAATGACCATTTTACCCCTAATGGCATCTTTAACCGTTTTAAACCCTAGCTTCTGCATTTGCTTCTTTATTAGTCTCGTGATCTCTTAGGAGGTCACTTTGCCGTCTTAGAGGTGGTATCCATCTCTAGAGAACTTTTCTCTTTTGTTGCTTCCGCGTTTCAGACTCGTTATCGGGTCAGTTTTCGAGTTACTCGCTGATGTACCGGGTTCTTTGAAATTCGGGCCATTACAGTTTGAGATTAAGGATCTTGGTCCCCTACGGTACTTCTTGGGTATTGAGGTGGCTCGCTCCAAGGCTGGCATTTTCATCTCTCAACGCAAGTATGTTCTTGACTTGCTTTTTGCTTCTAGTTAGCTTTGCGGTCGTCGTGCTGATACTCCAATTGAGCAGAATCATCGGTTGGCTGATTCTGAGGGGGAGTTGTTGCCAGATGTTGGTTAGTATCAACGACTTATGGGGAAGCTCATCTATTTATCCATGACTCGACCTGACATTGCTTATGCCGTGAGTGTCGTGAGCCAATTCATGCACTCTCCACGTGCCCCTCACCTTGATGCAGCTATTTGGATCCTTCGCTACTTAAAAAGGTGTCCAGGTTGTGGTATTTTGTTTGCCAATCATGGTCACTTACGTGTTGAGACTTGGACAAATGCTGATTATGCAAGATCAATTTCAGATAGGAGGTCAACTCCGGGTTATTGTACCACTATTGGTGGTAACTTGGTTACTTGGTGCAGTAAGAAGCAGGATGTTGTCTTTTGATCTAGTGCAGAGGCAGAGTATAGGGCTATAGCTCTTGGGGTATGTGAGTTGCTATGGCTGAAAACCTTGATGACTTCCAATGTCGCTTCCATTCTCACTCTACTGCAACAACAAGTCTGCAATTAGCATAGCAACAAATCCTATTCAGTATAACAAGACTAAGCATATAGAGGTGAACCGTCACTTCATTCGAGAGAAGATCATCTCTGGTTAAATTTGCACTCCATTTGTCACAAGCTCTCAGCAGCTTGTAGACATTCTTACAAAGGGTGTCAGCAAAATTGTGTTTGAGAATGCATTGTCCAAGTTGGTTGTTTCAGATATCCACATACCAACTTGAGGGGGAGTGTTAGCATATATGATATCCACGATTTATGGAATGACTTACCATAATAGCAGAGTTTTGATTATGCTATAGAATATGCCATAGAATATGCTTTAGAATATGTTGTGATTTGATTTAGATTTGATTTAGTTTCCTTTCTTGTAATATGAGCATGTGCTCCTTTTATCTATAAATACTAGAGCTGTGAATGAGTGATTCATCTCATTTCAAGCCTTTACACAATTCTCTCATTTTTCTTCTTTTTATATTTCTACTACATGGAATATAGGGACCTTAATGGGAAGATGTAATGAACTTTTAGATACATTAAAAAGGAGAAAAATCAACATAGCTTGTCGTCAAGAGATCAAATGGAAAGGTGAAAAGGCTAAAGAAATTGGTGGAGGAAACTTTATTATTCAGGTGGAAAATATGATCATAGGAATGGGGTAGGCATAGAGGTTAATCATTATATAAGAGGTAACAATGCAAAAGTTAGAAGACAAGGAGATAGATTACTAACAATAAAAATTGTCCTGGTGAGAGCCTAACAAACCAGCATACCCTATTAGTATTAGACTTTGTTGATCAAAGGACTTTGAAGTCGAAAAGCATAAGTGGCCAACAAAACCATAAAGTGGAAAGAGTTGAAAGGAGATAAAAAGATGGCGTTTGGAGAGCAATTTGGACGAAGAAAACAATGGAATTGGAATGAAAATATAAATAATTTATGGTCTAAAATCGTATTAAGAAGGTAGCTTAGGAGACTCTAGGAGAGAAAAAAAAGTAAGAAATTTATTAAAAAGGGAATATGGTGGTGGAAGGGATACAACAAAATGTTCAAAATAAGAGAAAGAACTTTAAACAATGGCACCAAAAAAAACTAATAATAATAATAATAAAAAGGTGAAGCTAAAGTGTGTGTGAAAAATTGGGTGCAAGGAAGGTGACAAAGATATTTATAAATTAGCAAAAAGTAGAGATAGGTTGACTAGGGACATGGATTAAATTAGATGCATTAAGGATATGGATCAAAATATATTAGTTAAAGTGATGGACATATTAAATAGATAAAAAGAATATTTTCAACAAATCTTGAATGAGGAACATTCTAAAGAAGAAATTATATACGATGAACATAATATGGGATGATAAATAGGATCAGTAAGAGAGAAATAGAGGATGCACTTAAAAAGATGGGTAATAACAAAGCAGTGTACTTATCAAAAAAAATAAATAAATAACAAAGCAGTGGGACCTAACAACATACCAATAGAAGTTTGGAGAACTCTAAGTAATGTGGGAACAGAATTGCTAACACATTTATTCAATAAAATTTTAAAAGGAAGAATGGTACACAATGAATGGAGTAAAAGTACGATTGTCCCAATATAAAAAATAAAGGCCATATACAAAATTCTGGTAACTATCGAGGAATAAAATTAATGAGCCATACAATGAAATGAGGGAAAGGTTGTAGAACAAAGCGTAAGGAATGAAATTATAGTGTCCAAGAATCAATTTGGTTTTATGCCAGGAAGATCTACTATGGAGGCCATTTACTTACTTAGGCAGTTGCTAGAAGAAAAGAAGTAAGCAATCAGATTTGCACGTAGTTTAAACTTAGAGAAGGCATATGATAGAATTCCAATGTATGTAATTTGGTGGACCTTACATAGAAAATGAGTACCTTTAAATCTTATTAACATTATTAAGGATACGTAAGAGGGTACCAAGACTAGGGTCTGTACTTTTTGTGGAGAAACTAACAATTTCTCTACAAAACTGGGTTTACACCATGTTTCAGTATTTAGCCCATACTTATTTACACTAGTCTTAGATGAAATAACAAAAGATATACAAGAAGACATCCCATGGTGCATTTTGTTTGCGGATGACACAGTGTTTGTGGATACCTCTAAGAAAAACTTAAGTATAAAATTAGAAACGTGGCGAAATGCACTAGAAACAAAAGGTCTGAAAATAAGTAAGACTAAAATAGAATATGTCGAATTTAAATTTATACAAGAATCAGAAAGTAATAATATAACAATAGCAATTCAAGATCATAGGGTCACTAAAAATCACCATTTTCAACACTTCACTAATACAAGAAAATGGGAAAATAGATGATGATATTACTAGTAGGATTGGAGTTGGTTGGACTAAATGGAGACAAACTAGTGGTATTTTATGTAATAAAAAAGTACCAAATAGGTTACAAGAAAATTTTTATAGGACGGTCATTACGCCAGTTATATTATGTGGGGCCCGAGTGTTGGGTGTTCAAAAAGAAACAAGAATAATGCAGTCACATAACTAAAATAAGGATGTTGAGGTGGATGATAGGAGCGACTAGGAAAGATAGAGTTACTAATCAAAGCGTGAGGGAGATTCTAGGAATAGCGTCTATTATTGACAAAATAAGAAAAAATAGACTTAGGTGGTGCACCTGTTGGAAAGGGAAGAGTAGTTTGCATAGAAGGTAAAAGAAAGCGAGGATGGCCAACATGGATTAAAGTAGTTAAAATTAACTTTAAAACATTAAAAATTAGAGGAGACATGGTGTATAATAGAATAGAATGGACAGATGGCCGACACTGCTATGAGTCAAGGATGATGATATGAGTACAAATTACAATACTATTCTTCATTATGTACTTACCAAAAAAAAAAAAAAATACTATTCTTCACTATGCATTCATCAAGTATTGGCTATAAGGCTGCTTTTTTTTTTTTTTTCATTCATGCTTTTGAAAGTAAAATATATAACATACTCACTCTTTTAAGTTCTGATGCATTATTTCAGTTTCCTGCATAAACTAATATTCTATCCGAATTTGTGACCCTGTCCACAAATAGAGCCACTTATTAGTTGATCTCCCCACTGAAAGAAGTTGCAGCTGCCAATAACCTGTTGAATATGATAGCACTCAAGCTACAATACAGGTATAACGTGGCTGTGATTTTCACTCTCTTTTTTTTTTTTTTTTGATAGTAAACTAACCGATTCACTAGAAGGTGCTAAGCAGGGGTGAAAACCTTGTACACAAAGCAAAAACAGTTGTATCCTATGAAGATACAAAAGAACCCATGGTTGTGTGAAGTCCAAAATTTTTCCAATGGAAGAATTCACCTATTTTTTTAACCCAGCTAAGTAGCACTGCAAATATTTTCTTTCTAAATGAAGATTTATTGGAATTCATAAAAGTAAATAAAGAATCAAAGAATAAACATGAAATATGTGAATCACCTCGAGAACTCCTCCAGTTGAATACTTTAAGACACGAAGAAAAGCTTTAGTCCGCTTAGCTTTTTGTTTCGCTGCACAAACCACAGGCTGTTACCAAAAATCCCACTCTAATGGACAATAACTAAGGAGTCAGAAGAATCATCCAACAGAGTTGTGAAATTCAAATTTTATTTGATTCAATCAAACCAAAGGCTAATGTTTCTCCATCTCCAATATTTGATTGCACACAGCTACTACAGCACCTAAAGAGATAAGTAAGTAAATGAATCTCACAACACCAAACAACATGGAGGGGGTGGTCTTGTTAAGTTATATACTCAATTAGAATTGAGATTGTCTAATACCATTGACCCTAAATATAATTGAAGTGTAAAGCCCAACATCAGTAATAAACGTAATTTGACAGGACCGGGCCCTTTAAGGAGTCACAATATGACCCTTCACTCTCCCAGCGCAGGAAAAATCTCGTCGGCATTATAACAAAATCCTAATGTAGAGGTATACTATAGCTTACTGAATCATGACACTTCCATCAATTGATACAACCAAAAGGCATTAGGCTCTCATTGCAGAAATCCATAATGGGGAGTGACTTTCATATGTTACTGACCATAAAAACTGGGATTTCATGCCCCTTTTGGACAACCTTTTCCAACAATCAATTACCAGTGCTTTTTTGCAAATTTTTTTAATTTTTGATTTTTATTTTTTGTTTTAAAAAAAAACAAACAACCATTTTCCTCTACTCTTGCATAATCAACATTTGAAAGCGAACAGTGGTCACCAATTTCACTCATTGGAATCGTGCATTTCAATTTTTTGACTGTTCAGAAATCAATATAACCATTACTCAATATTAAAGTAACATCACTTTCCAAGAGCTTAATCTTCCCCGCGCTTTTCATGTGGAATGAATGAATTTCAGAACTTGTTATTCAAGATTTTACAAGAGATTATTGATTAGCGATGAGAACGAAGATTAACAATGCATATCAAACCGAAATTGTATATAGATAATCAAATGAAAAGGTTGTGTCACACAGATTACGAAAATTGTGAAATGTGTATTAAGAGAATGATAGAAAGAGAAATGGCGTACTGGAAATGGCGAGAACCCTAGCTTTGGCCATATGACCGCGGCTTAATTTGGCTGTCTTCCCCCAGATCCCGCGGCTCTTGGCGACGCGAATAGACATTACGATCCTCTGCTTGGTGCCTTCAATCGCGGCCTCACAGGCTCTACGAAGCTCTGAATCGTCTGCGCTCGATTTCGCCATTGTTGTCTCTCTCTCTCTGCGTTACTCGCAGAGGTCCAACTCTGAACAGAAATGTGATATTGATCAGTTCATAAGCGAGAAAAATATAGAGATTTTTTTTTTTTTTTTCAACAGAAATGTGTAACCGTCGTCGAAATTGCTGGGACGCGGGTCGTGTGACATGACCGTCTAATGTGGGTCCACAAAATCAAATGATTTTATTTTTTATTTTTTATTTTATTTTTTTAACATGGGTTATAATCGGCAATGCTGGTGTCCGACTCAGGTTGGTTGAAGTTCGCCGTGGTCCAATAGAATTGCAAAAACTGTCTAAAACTAATATAAAATTAAGTTGGGAATTGCCCATCTATTTTGCGAGTATAACCCATCTTTCTTTTTCTTTTTATTTATTTTCCTTCTCATCTCTTCTAGTTCGCCGCCTTCTTCTTTTTCCTCCTCCTCCTCCTCCCATCACCGACGACTAGACCACTGTGGCCGATGACAACCCAAATGCTCACTCTGGCCTTGCCAATGCTGAAGCTTCGACCTCTTGGATCGACCTCTGAAACCCTAATTACTTTATGTGTGTGTGTAGTCTGCGTGAATTAGGGCTAATGTTTGGTTTTTCAGATCAAGGATATGGCATTGAAGGCGTCAGGAGCGTACTGGCACTACAATCCGTCTACGAGGACGTTGATGCAGCAGCAACACAACAACTACACTGAGTCGGACTCGGCATCAATTGGCGTTGGAGAGGTTATGGCGGTCGTATCGTCGGACCGGAAGCTTGAACTCAAGCTTTACGAATCCCAGGCCTTGGGGAAAGAAATTGGAGGCGAGGCTAAAGAGGATTTTGAGAGGCAAGCGCACTCCGACGTCGGCGAGTGGGCGGCGAGCAAACTCGATCGTGTTCGTTGAATAAAAGAGCTTAAGGAGTGGGTCGCACAGGTGGAGCCAGGTTTCGGAGGTCGATCCAAGAGGTCGAAGCTTCAGCATCGGCAGGGCCAGAGTGAGTATTTAGGTTGTTATCGGCCACAGTTTGTCTGTTACAGGGAAGAGGAAGAAGGCGGCGGAGGCGGACTAGAAAAGATGAGAAGGAAAACATAAAAAGAAATGAAAAAAACATGGTTACACCCTTATATAGATGTGCAATGCCCAACTTAATTTTATATTTAGTTTTTGACACTTGTCACAATTCTATTGAGCCACATCACTGGATAGGATGAATTTCATCCAACTTGGGTTAGACACAAGCATTGTCCAGTTATAACCATGGATATTTGCGCCACCTCATCCAGTTTTAAACGATTATGGAACTGATTAAAATAATTTGGGGGGGAGAATGTCGCTCTGTACTGGCCTATTTATAATGATAAATTACAAATACTGTGTCGGGATGGGAAAAGGTCACTCCGTGCCCACGTGTTTATACTAATAAATTACAATTTTATTCTTATACTATATTTTATATTCAATACTATTAGTTATATATTAAGAACTTCTATATTATTTTGATATTTTTTGTAATGATCTTGATTTTTTCCTTTTTTCATTTTCTGGATTTTTTTGATTTTTTGGGATTATTTTGGATTTGTCTCGTTTTGCGTGTCGAACACCGTGAGGTGTGCCAGGTGTGTTCTGAAAGTTGGTTGGGGCATTTTCTTGAGCTCAGGACTCTTGGAAATACATTAGTTACTACTTCGGCATTTTTTCGTTTTTTGAACCTGAAGGTCCCAAGTGGGACTCGCTATCGGGATTGTCGTATACGGAGATTGTGTTTCGGGTCCATTGCATTTCATGCATATTTATTTTGTGTACAATTACTTAGTTATCTATTTATTATGTGGTCGTGATTTAGTTAGTGCATATGTATATATATTAATAATTAATGGTGGTAATAGTTTATCACATGGGGCCCACTTGTGACTTGATTTTTATAATGACCAAGGGGCCGGTCATTACATAACCATTATAGCTTCAATTCTCATGCCATTTTCTCTCTTCACTCTCAGTTTCTTTATTTTCTTTTTCTTCCCTTAAACAAACTCAGATCTAGAGTAAACCATTAAGAATTTGATCTTGTTATAAAAGGCAAAGTTGATGAGCGCATTGAGGGCTTCGTATTGATAGGAAGAAAACACCATTTGGAGCACTTGGGTGAACTCGAATTTGGGGTTGTTTGGGGGGTTTACTTGAATTGCTCTTCTATTTGAGGTAGGGGTGTTCTAATACACAATTTCTTTGATTTTAGTGAATTTTTCTCTTTAAATTGATTTTAAGTATGCTTTATTTGATTATTTTGCTCATGGGATTGAGGGTTTTATGCACCAATGTGATTTATGTGACTATTTGGCTGAAATTGTATGTTAATTGAAATGATGTGATGAAACATGCTAAACTGAAATTATTGTTTGCCTTGTATAATTATAAATGCTGAAATTTCTTTATGTCAAGACATGATGTAATTCGTTGTGAGTTTTTCTTTAAAGCATGCTATATTGTTGTGGTCGAATGTGAATTGTGGAAATGTATATATATTGTCATGGTTTTGTATGGTATGAAGTATTCACGCATTTCATTGGGAAAGAAAGGAAAAAGTTGTTTTTTTTAATTATTTTTTTAAAGAAGAGAAATTGATTTTTGGGGAAATGTTTTGAAATGGTTTGCGAAAACCCAGGCGCCGAGAAGTTGCCTAGTGGTCTGTGACGTTAATGTGGCCCAGAGGGAACTAAGGAGATATTCTAGCGTGGTTGAGCTACCTAGGCCTGAAATGACACCTTGGAGTTGCCATGTGGTCAGGGAAAACTAACCAATCCTTCTCTCGTGACACTATAGAGTTGCCATGGGTCAGATTGCATTAATGGTTTGGAATGGTGAAACGGAAATGTTTTGGAAATGGGGAGGGACATTGGCATGTCATTGTATTACATTGGCATGCATTGTATACATATAGTTGGATGACCTCTAGTGTTGTTGTTGTTGTTATGGTTATTGTGTTTTCCCCTATGGCATGATCCTGTATATCTTTACTTTATGCTTTGTGTGGATTCACAGGGTCATTAAAAGGTGTGTCTTAGGCACCTCCTATTGAGCCATTGTGCTTATCCATTTCTTTATTATTTTCAAGTCATGGGAAGGAAGTGGCGGACGACACTTCTTCATAAGTTTAGATGGGTTAGTGGACTATTTTGACATCTTTTGTGGCTGTGATCCCTTTTTTTTTTTTTTTTTTTTTTCTTTTTTTTTTTTTTTTTTTTTTTTGGTAAAAGCCTTGGGGTGGCCCGTATATTATGTATCGACATTAGAATTAACCATAATGCCCTTAGACGACCTTAGGTTCGGGTAAGGACCCGATTAGTGATTCGGATCCTCAGGTTCGGGTCGTTACATTTTCCTACAATAATATTAAGTCTCATGCTATATTTGGTTGGAGGAAATGATTGAGGAGGCATGAATGAGATTGGGGACAAAAGAGTTTTTCTAATTTTGGTTGGAAGTAAGGAACAAGAAGGAGGAAACAAGGAGGGATGAAGTTGCTTTTTATTTTTCTATCCGCCCAAAATTGGGGGAAGAGGAGAAAGAAAGAAGGAATAATTACTAATTTTCATTTTTAACCTTCCCAAAAAATTAGAATAGATATCTAATTTTTATAATTTTATATAATAAGGCCTTAGTAAAAAAAATATAAAACACTATTTCCCTTCCTTTCAACCAAAGAAAAAAAAAATGTCACACATCCATCATTTCTACTATCCATTCAATTCAACAAAAATAATAATAATAATAATAATAATAAAAAAAAATTGAGGGAGATACCTTCCCTTCCCTAGGGATGTAGCATCCATGCCTTCCCCTGTCCCTTCAATCCGTTCTTCTATCATTCCAACCAAATGGAGCATCAAGTTCAAATTGAGAAGTTAAATCTTATTTTTATTCGCATGAGACAAAAAAGATTATTACCATATTTGAAATTTTGTTTTCATTATTTACTTTTATTAAATTCGTAATAAAAGTACGAACAAAATTTTCAAAACCCATCCCCACCCCGCCCCGTTTAATAAACAGTTTTGGACAGGGATGGGGATAATTATTCTAAACGGAGATAAGGATGGGAATGTCGCTCCCCGCCCTAAACCTACCCATTGCCATCCCTACTTATAACTCCTGACGCTCTCTCTCCTCTTCTACTAATTTGAGAGAGAGAGAGAAAGAAAAGAAGAAAAGAAAAGACCTAAGTTACACAATCCTTCTAAAGGTGTGTCGCTCTTCATGCTCCAGGCGCAAATTAGCACTATGAGATCGAATTCTCTCATAATTTGCAAATTCAGTCAATTCACAAATTCAATTTGCCAATCTCAAATTAAAAACGATTTCTCACTTATTGTATTGTGGACAACTACATGTTCTGAGGACCTGTCCCCATTTTTCCTTTTTTCCATATATATATATATATATATTGACATTTTCAAGTTTCGAGTTAAGTGGGACCGGGCCGGGTCAAGTATTCTGGAATTATTCCTAACACTTTTTATTTATTTATGTGGGACACATTGGACTTATTTTCTTTATTTTGAGGCATTGGCATTATTATTTCTAAGATATTTTATTTTTGGGGCTTTTTTGCAATTTTATAAAATTTCGGGATCCACGGGAGACTTTTGGATTTCTGTATAGTTATACACACACACACACACATATTTGTGTGTTGAAGGAAAGAAACATCATATTTTTGTAGGGGTGGCAAAGTTTAACATAACCCGCTAATACGATTCGAATGCAACATGAGTTAAACAGGTTTGGCTTGACTTTAAATGGATTTGGGTTGTAAACAGGTTGACACGATGAACCCCTTTAGTTAATCGTGTCATATTTGGATTAAGGTGATTCAACCCGTGTAACCCGTTTATACCTATTTAACTATATGTGTCATAAACAAATTTATATTTAAGTTTTAAAATAACAATCAAAACTTGTTTCTTATAATTTACTCTTTTATAGACTATAGACAATTTAGTAATTTAGTTGGATTGAACTTATATTTTTTTAGTATTTATTGTTTGATTGAGTATTATTAATAATTTAAATAATATAATTTTTAATTTTTAGTAAATAGGTCGTTAAACGGGTTACACATTTAACCCATTTAATAAATAGGTTGTGTTAGTGTTAAAGGTTCCTGACACAAATATTAAACGGGTCGCGTTAGGGTTGAGCTATTTAGTAGAATATCTTTAGTTGTACATGACACAATTATGACCCGCGAACACGAATTGCCACCCTTAGATTTATGTCCTCCCTTTCCGACTCTCTCTTCTCTCCCTATTTTCTTTCTTTTTCTTTTTGTTCTACAAGCTTTATAGGCTTGATTTCATTGCCATTCCACTTAGATTCTCGAGTCTCCATAGAAAGGAGTTATGATGGTGACACCATTTGCTTTTTGTGACGGCCCAACTTTTTCAACCCGGTGCGTCAGTGATGAATCGAAAGTTGACCCGATAAAGGATCCGAAATGCGGAAGCGAAACCAAAAACAAGACCTGTAGAGATATCAATCATCCCTAAGACACCCAAATGACTTTCCATGAAGTCATGAAACTCAAAGAAATAACCAGAAGTGGAACTAGAATAAAAAGGTCAAATGATACCCTATGGCATCAATGACGACCAAAGGAATGTGATCTAGTTCAAACTAGACTACGTACACCATTAAATGGCTTAAATAAGATCGATAAGGTTATGTTGGAACAAACAAATAAAGCCAACTAGCCGAAACAACTGACCAAGCAAAACCCACAAAACAGCTCCATTTCGGTAGACCGAAATGGAGCTTCGGTCTGCCGAAATGGACCAGGAAGAGAAGCGAAATGAGCCTTCATTTCGGTCGACCGAAATGAGCCTTCATTTCGGTCGACCGAAAATGACACACCGGTTGACCGGTTTGTGGCTCGAAGTGAAAAATGGCTACTGGAATTGGACTTTTACTGTTCAATTGAAATTCAAAGGCCATCGGTTGACCGAAACAAGCCACTAATCGACCGAAACAGGTATTAAGCACCAAAACTGAAAGAAATTCCTAAGTCTCAAATGGATCCCCCATTGCATGATCAAAATGAATTGTAT